TACGATAATTAAGATGGGTCTCTGATATCAGAGCAATATCGATTTTATTATCTTTCAACAGTACCTCTAGTTCTTGTTTATTTGGCGTTAGGCCATTGATATTCCAGGTAGCAATACGTAATGACATCATTGCGGAAGCCTACTGATGAGTGTCATGATGAGATTCATCATTGTGCTAAAGTGTGATATGAGTTGGTCGATCCTTTCACTCTGTCTTCGTAAAAGTGCTTCTAAGCTATATTTATTGTCCTGTTCGATTTCTATTTTTGTCAAATGTGTTCTCTGTGACTCAAGGTCAGCGTAAGTTTTTGTATTTATTCTCTGTGACTCTGTATGATAAACTTTGTCTTTCTGTGTTCTCTGTGGTTTCGTGTGGTTAATGTTATTTCTCGGATATGCTTTCTGTGTCTCTGTAAGGTCTACTACAGCTTCATTAGATCCTTTGACAGCTTCACTGTAAAGTTTCAAGCTTTCTATTACGCTGGACTGCCGACTTGTTGGTTGGGTGGCCCTGGGGTTACTTACAGGCTTGATGATTGTCGTGTCTGTGACAGTTTGGGACTCGTCAGTTGTAGTGTGGTTTTTCAATACTTTCTGGGTTGCTCTTGTTCTCGGATGTGGCTGTCGTTCGTTTCCAGTATGCTTTCTTGCTACAATTTCCTTATACACCTGACATCCTTTGTAGCTAGCAGGATGACTTCCTGAGCACAGCGCACAAACCGCTGGGGTGTTTTCATCAATCGGGCACATGGTGGTTTTGTGTGCTCCGGCACATTTCACGCATCTGTACGGCCTCATGCAGTTATTTTTGCTGTGTCCATATTGCTGGCACCTTTGACATTGTACCACAGTCGTTTTTCTTATTGGATCTTCTATGGTGACTTTCTGGTTATATATGAACTTAATTTCCTTGACAAGTCTGTTATTTTCATGCGGGGCTACATTGACAAAGAATGTATTTAGGGGTTCTTTGGTTCCTTGTTTCCGAGCAGTGACTATTTCCCCTTGAACCTTGTTTCCGGTTTTTTCTATTGCTTCTATGATAGCATCTTTTGGTGTGCTGAAGTGAAGGTGTTTAATAACAATCCTTGTGCATTTTTGATCCTTGCGTGTAAAAGTGTGACCTATAAGTCCTTTGCTTCTTATATGCTCTATCAGGGTTTTATATTTGTCAACCGTATGGGATGAGATGATGAGCTGATTTTTGGATACTATTTTGTAAGTGTAGTCATCCTTTTCCACAACTTCTTCGATGAGTTGGGTGAGTTTCGCAAGGTCTTCAATGCCATACAGTATTATCGGTGGTGGTTTAGGTGTTCTTTTGGCTGGAGCATCTCCTACTTCCACATCTAACAATTCAAAGCTCTTACTTGTTCCTATTTCTGCGGAAGTATTTTGTTCAGCATTATTTATTCCTCTGTGTTTGTTAATAATTGTCTCACGTCGCTGGGTTCTTTTGGCTTGATTAGCTCTTACATCTTTTTCATCAGGAGAGCGGTTTCTTTTTTGTTTTGGCACTCGTTGCCATGGCGCGTTATGGTTGTATACTTTGCTTTGCTCATCTCCTTTTAATTGTGGGTTGTTAATTTGTTTTGTCTGGTTTATTTCGCTAAGTGACGCTGATCGTTGGCGATGAAATAGGCCTGGATGAAATAATTGTTGAGTCAATGTTTTCTTTGGTTTTTCCGAAGAAAACATTGATACACATAATACTAAAGTAATAACAATAACACTAAAGTAATTGTATTTTATATTGGGGTGTATAGAGCTTAGACTTGAATGCATCAAAATATTCAAAGCAACAAGTCATCTACAATAAGATAAAATAGACCGAATAGTAGAAGAATACAGTTGTAAATTAGAATGCATCAACATTGCATCGCCCAACAGTCGTATACCTCGTAAGAGTAGGTAATATTGTTCTGTAGTCTATACCGAGAACCGAGAATTATCTATACCTATGTACCTACCGTTAAGCGTTGAGCCCGTGACTGTTGATTTCTGTTAAAAACTAACAGTTGTTGAATGATATTTTGATATAATAACGGTAATTTAATTTATCGAGTGAAAGTGATACATTTTTATAGATAAAATTATTGGTCAGATAATATTTGTCAATCAAGAATCGCTGATAATACATCCTTCGCTAGAACGCGGGAGGGGAGGGGCGAAGGGATACTTCATTGTTTGCAATTTGCATCTAGTGCACTAAACTTGACCCTTAGGCAGATAATATACGTGTTGTAAAGTACGTGTGCGCTTCCGCTTTCTATTTTTGCAAATATTTATCGTATTCTTGAGAGTTCTTCAATATGTGTGTACCTAATTACTAATAATGGGCATTAATGCTAATTCGATTCAATTTAAGTAATTGTCAATTCTTGTCTTAGGATATTAATTACTAATGCTAATATTGAAATTTTGTTCAGGGTGAACCAATTAGTACCAGGGACTTCCTTTCTAGGGTATACCTGGTTCCCCGGCTATTAGTACCCGAGACGGCGTGCGGTTTTAGTCGGTTCGAGTCCGACATGCCACCGAAAGGTGGTATCCGAGGGGATTTCCGCACGGCAAAAAAAAAAAAGGGTGAACCAATTAAAAACGATCATAACTTGTAGGTAGGTATATCACTTATTGCTAATTTTATATAAATAATTTATTTTATTATAATTTAACTCACCGCGATTTTGTGATCAAATATTTTATTTTCTCCAACATTATTACAGAAATACTGCAATACAGAGTTTGTTCGCGATATGCTAGCCTAAGTCAATTCATCATTTAAAAAAATCCCCATCTATTTACAAAACCTATTTACAACGCATACGTTACACTCTTCAAAACTTAAATTACCTATACCTACCCTAAAATTAAACTTCAATTAACAAATACTACCAATTCTATGAACAACTATAAACAATTCACCTTAACATTACGAGAAAACAAAAGCATTCAAAACAATACCTAATCTCCCGGCTGATTACTAATTATGCAATAAACAATTCTAAATAAAAATTATTTAAAAAACATGTAGTTTTTAGTAACACTTATGTACCTATCCGTAGTAAACTTGCAAATAATATCCTACATATTTTAAAAGCCAGCACAATGTACTGGGTGATCGCTTTTTTGTAACCACCTAAACATGGTCGGGTTACCACGGTCTTGCACCTTCTAATGACTTTTATTTAATTATCTCGTAAATTATTATATGTACGACGCTGAAATTCTACAGGTAGACAACTGAACTAAACAACTAATTATTGGCATAACATTCAGTTTATATATCCACACACAGGTTTATCGGTGGCCAAAAAAGGCCGCACACATTGTGATCGTGAACGTGGAGAGCTACATTTCATCATAACTTTTTAGTCACTTATAGTATTCTTACGAAAATTCGTATACATTTGAAGGTAGTTACAAGCAATAGAATAACGTTTGAAGTAAGTCTTTAGAGGTCTTATTTAAAGTGTTAGGACGTGTTGAAGTGTTTTCATACTTACCTAAATAATTTTTAAACGGTCCATTATTTTTGTTATTTTATTGTCGAACAAATTAAAACTAATCCTTAAGAAGTTATGTACAAAAGATGGTTACAATCCGCTTACCCGTTTCAGAGATCCAGCAAACCCACAAACGTTACTCCAGCAGGATTTCGAATAACTTCGCAGCCGAAGAAAATACAAATACCAAATAAGTTGTAACATTTACCTAGCCCAGATAACTAATTATCTAGCTAAAATTTATTTCAATATTACAATTAAAAAAGAAAATGTCTGGCTGCGGTAACGTTTCAAACGTTACCCCAGCAGGAAATGTTTTTTTGAAATAACTAAAAAAGTTTAAGAGAAACAAATTTAAAAATGTGCCTAACAATTACAGAGGGGGAGCAACTAATTATCTATAACGTTTAAATGACCATTTTCGACATTATTTTGCTGGGGTAACGCACACCAGTCCGAATGAAATGAAATCAAACCAACTCCGAAACTTCTCACTCCGGTTCCCACGTGGTGGAAGAGGCGGGTTAGCACTCCCAGGCTCCAGACAATGGCGTGCAGCTAAGCAGCTTTTTCTACCATTTAGGTGCTCCACAGCAAACTAATTTCCTGGGGTCAAACTCCGGCGAGAGACAAAAATCCGAATGCCACGCAATGACATTCCAATAAGAAAGTAAAGAAATTTAGGTATAAAAGGAAAATTAGAGTATAATTAAAACTTTAGATATAAACTAAAAACCCTGATTCATCTGCAAATAAGGAAAAATTATAGGTTAAAAGCCTATCTCACAAGATGAATCCTAACTCTGACAAGAAACCATAGAATACTTACCAGGGTCCCAAAATGTTTCACAAACTAAGCAGCGGCATTATAAGCATTTCCTGTAACCAATTAAACAAAGAGTTAGAACCACAAATTCTGCCAAGCCAAGCGTGAAGCACGTGGCCGAACAAAACTTACCTTTTCAATAAAAATAATCACTCGAACCAATAGCTCGAGTCTTAACTAGGTTGGCCAAACATTTAAAGAGGAAATAAGCCCTCGTCCATATCAATAAATATGGATTACTAATAAAATAAATTACAATGGCTCGCTCCGCTTCATTTCACCCGGCTGACAACTCAATAGTCACGCCAACGTGTTGCCAGAGCAAAGCTTGTCGCTCCCTAGAACGTGAGAAAAAAAATGTTGCCAGGACAAGAAAAACTAAATCGACTAACTAACGCGGCGAACAACATCGATTATTACTCTCGTCCGCCCCTCGACATCGGCACTCGCAGAAACGACATAAAATTCAACTCAACACAACAAAAACAAGACTAAGGTTCAAATTACTGTAATGGTGCGAAATGCACCGTTACAATATGATATAATTAATTTACTCTTGGACGCAGATTATGAATATATAATAAAATAATATCTCGGACATCTGACATCACAACGCCATCTAGTTTCAACTAAGCAGAGCTTGAATATTTGTCAAAATGTACTTTCAGAAGTGGAAGTGGGGCATGTGCCACCCGACGACATATTGGATCCTGCGGTTCTCAGTCAAATACCAGATGAGGCATTTACGGAGTTTTTCAATCAAGGTACATTTTTTATTTTCTTTCTGTAGTCGTGACATTGTTGTTTACGGTTTATTGTATGTAGGAACACTTTAGAATACATAAAAGAAAGAAAAGAGCGTACTTCCTAAAAGGCCGGTAATGCATTTGTGACTCCTGAGATGCAGACGTTCATGGGCGGCGATCGTCACTTTCCATCAGGTGACCCGTCTGTTCGTCTAACATAATCCGTCCGGTGACCCGTCTTAATATAATTAGTTTCATAGGTATTTTATTTTACAATTTCATACACGTTTATAAAACCAGTTTAATAAACTGATAGTAATTAAAACATTTTTTTTTACATTAAGTCTGTAATCTTAATTAACATTTTTGTGCGTAAAAGGTGCATTGAAAGTAAAAAGTAAGTGAAAATTAAAGAGAGTTAAATATGTGTTAAAAATTTAAAATGATATTAAAACGGTTAAAAATAATACAGGGTGTAAACCATATACACTGACCTGTTATTGCAGGACAGTTCAAGTTCAAGCAGTCAATGAATGGTCGAACTCGCTTTTATAATTAATTATTACATTACTAAATATACATAGTTTATTATTTTATTTCAATATGCATTGCAATATCAGTTTATTCTGGTTCAATTTAGGTAGTTTTAATTACTTATTAATAGCCTTTGGTTGGTCATAATTTAAGGGAAAGTGGGGGGGGGGGGATAATTACGAACACCTAAGGGAAAATAGAAATAAAACAGCAGATGTAACCTTACAGCGGAAGGTGGCGCCGCGTTCGCGGAGAGCTCGGAGCTGGCGGCGGCGCTGGAGGCCGTGCTGGACGAGCGCGGGCTGGACGACAGAGTGCTCGACGAGAGGCTCGACTCCATCGACTCTGTGTTTACGCACTCTTCACAAATTTCCAAAAATAAGGTACGTTTCATCTCATTGCTTGTTTCCGTTCTGTAAATACAGACATTTTACACTGAAAGTTTCCGCTTCACTAAGATTCGAGATTTTTCAAGTTCTTTATACTACTTTATACGGTAATACAATAATTGAAGGTAACATAAAATGTCGCAACTGTATTTTTAACATTTGACCAAAAGTATATGTACGATGTACCAAATCTATATCGACTTTGTGATTGTGTGATGATGTGATTTCCAAAGAACGGAAAAAAAATATTTTGCAGAATAAGAATGTAAAGAAACCTTACAGTAGTGTACAGATACATTGCTCTAAAATACCTATGTTTACACTTATAATAATAAGATTAAAAAAACCTCTTACATAAACCTCAGTTAGTTGAATGGTGCTATTGACAGTGGTATCGACTGAATATACATGGTCACGTACCTGCTGTACTTTCAGTCTATAAAATCATCATCTATACATGACAGTAACTTAGTGTTTTAAGGAAAGTAATGAACCTTATCAAAATTTAATTCAAGAAACATTGCTTGAACTTGTATATTTCAGATGCAAGTCCCTTCTTCAATGCCTATGGAGATGTCGTCGCGAGTGCCCTCATAACAGTATAACTTTACACTTCTTATGTTAAGCTATAATAAACTCCATGTACTATAACAATTAGGAACAAATTCGATATTCATAGTCTCAAGAGTTAGGGATATATTTCTTCATGCTTTAATTTTTTGTATGTGTGCCTGTGTAGGTGAAGTTATTTGTAAATTGTGATTCACTTTGGTGTTTGTCGTATTTCGACTTTAGAACCAATGTTGGGGCAAGCTATTCTATCGATCAATTATCATAATATATAAAGAGCTATTAAATGAATAGTTAAAAGAGATGTCACCTTACAGCTAAGACCCGTTTAGAACGAACTGTCGAACCCTAAACCTGGATTGTAGTTATTTAACAAACGAATCGCCACCAGATCATCGATTAAATTATCGATACCTAAATTGTACATTTATATTTTAACTTATGATCGTGAATTGTCGTTTCCAGTTCCTGATTTACTTAAAATACTTGACTGCTTCAGTACAAAATGCAACAAAAGATGGTCACAAATAATAAAACCTTATCGAAATCTTTGTAGAGATTACCTCGTAAATTTAAACAACTTTATCATCTACACTAGAAAAAATACCCATTTATATCTTCTAAATTTCATGTAAAAAAATCGGTTGAATGCTGGCGCCAACATTGCAATATATGAAATTTATGCAAAAGAAATGAATGTAAAGTTTAATTTTGTGTTCAAACAAATGGCTAAAAGTAGACAAGATTTTTCTTAGATTAGTCTTTACAATAATTAACTTAAATATTTTCTTGCCTAAAGTTTTTATCAACGATCACAAAGAGAAATACTCAATTTATTTAAATTTTTAACATTCACAACAAAAGAGTATGTTCGCTGGACATTTATATTTTGATGAAAACATTGTTTTTCTATCAACACCCCTCAAAGTTACTGAGAAATCTAAAGCGTGTAATTTTGGTTTACCTTCAATCACATTTACGTACTACAAATAACTCTTAGGGGGGTTTTTTGTTGATTAGTTTTACCAATAAATTTAAAATAAGACCACAGGAATAATTAAATCAGCATACAGCATATAGTCATACATATTTTTTTCTTGTGTACAAATGTGTCAGAAAGAGAACGAATAAACATGAATCGAAATTACGGAAATACATATTTGGTTTCTATTATTGTGCTGTTTGTCAGTCGAGACAGTCTAACATCTAGCGTCTCCTGCTAACGCGTACATATTATATTGGTTTAATAATTATGGTTATTTGATTTCGATTTAATAATGATAAGGAACTAAGTCCAAGGGAATTGCTTTCACAGATAGTTCGGAACTTTACAATTATAAAGCCAATGACTTTTCTTGCCTAATTCTTTTTTCTTCTATCCTCTTAATTAATCCTCCTTTAATAAATCATTAATTAAATAATGAAAACTTTATTTCCACTTTTTGATACAGATTGTATATACTATAGCTGCTATGCTGATATCTTGAAACACGTAACGTTCTACGAAAACTGTTTAAACAAAGACAGTTACATTTGTTTGAATCAAAATAACAAAGACGCTGTCGTTGGACACCGTAATACGTTCACTAGTAGTTGTCATAGGTTAGTTTAGTAAATTGTAACTATGTAGACGTATCAACATGACTAACGCTCTAGTATTTGGTGCGACGTGAAATTTGTATTATACGGGAAGCAAACCCTGCTCAAGTTATTTCTTTAAATTGCTGCTTATTTTAACTAATAATAATGAACATATTTTTAGGTTGTAATGTATTGGCATTTAATCAGAAAATATATACAATTATTTCATTAGTATCAATGAAAAATTCAACATATTGTAACAGGTTACAATAAGAATTGGCATTCAAGTTAGAATGTATTCCTTATTGATATCTAGAAGCTCTGAATTTATGTTCAAAAAAACTTTTTTTTAAATGTATTTGATTGACGTACGCTTTGGTTTTGTCTTTAAATTCGTAGATGTATCGTTACAATAATCTACTGATCTCTGTAAACAAGAAAGCATTTCCTTTTTAAGTTTGAAGAAGGTCTGAACTTATAAACACTAAACTGGTGCTTTCTCGTATAATATGAATGCTGTTATTTTATTTATTCGTCTTAGATTACATAAAGTGTAAAACATGCGACAAGATGTATAAGGGCATGGTGGTTGAACAGATTCTATTATTTAAAGGGATCATAAAATCAGACGTCATCATGGTTCCTACTTTTTTTTCCATCTTTATTTGACGTCGGCACAATGTGTAAGGTTACCAAGACTTCTAACTAGTTTCTGGTATAGCCGGCATTCTGCCTGGCGTCAATCCTCTATGGGGGTGGGGATCGGTAAACAGTTAAGGCGAGGGATCTATGATACGAAATACTGCAATTCTCGGATGGGAACCGGGATTGAGAAAGGCCACCAGGACAAGGCAACAAGTGGCCTAACAAATTGCATTAAATTTGAAAAATATATATTTACCATTGATATACACTGATTGGAAGCCTTCGTTTTATACACATGTACATATATTAATTTTTTTTAGTTAGTCCATTCGATTGTACATTTCTATCGACCTCCATGTCCTAGTAGTCCGAAGAAGGCTGTCCTTCTATTTGTCCAAAATGATGATTCAAATTAAGCATGTAGCAAGTTGTCAGAGTACACAGATGGTATTAGATTAGAACAATCCAAAACCATCCGCTAGTTGACTAGTCTGTGTCGTTATTAATTAGTAATTTACACTTTATATACGCTAAGATACTATTGTTTGACGGAATTTAGACGTTAATCAATATATGTTGAATTGAGGAGAAAATGTGTGAGTGAGCGTCATTATATTCCTGTGTGTGTGTATGTATGTGTGTCGCAAACGCCTGCAATAATAAAATATAAAGTGATATATAAACATATACACCAAATTAAATTGATGTCATATAATACATAGTCATTATAACGCTAGACAGATTTGATTATACCGACAAGTGCCCACAGTTCAATTATAATCTGCCGTATGTAATAATAATATTAATAATAATAATAACGATACATTGTAAGTGTTGTTCGACGTCGTTGTAACTTCGAGCCATACGTGACAGTTGCTCTTTAATGTAATGTTCATAAAAGTAATATAGAATTGAATTGACATTGTTGAGAATGAAAGCTGAATGTTACGAATATAGCAAATTGTTCAATGAAACCTGACAAAAAGCTTATTCTTATAAATCTATATTTGACACGATACGAGGCCTACAGAGCACTCCAACAATACAACAATAAAAACCGAAGTATTAAATTAAATTCAAATACGCTGTAGGACATTATATAATCAACTCGAACTCTACTTGGTGTACTTGACATGACAAAGTACAGGCAGATTACACATAAGTTTAACTTCATTAGCAAATAACTATATGTATAACTTCACCAGTAAATACTTTTTTTAACTAAAAATCGCCTGTTGGTCGATATTCAACCATAATTCATTAAGTTTACAATATTTAGTTTTATTTTGCTGACATGCATAGCTTCAGCTACCTACCATTTATACTTAAAATTCTTAAGTACTTTTTTCATAAACCACTATAATTAAAAATAGAAGAAATCTTTTTCCAACTTTTTTCTTCATACTTAAATCATCGCCAATAGCTACCAAATATAACCAACATCGCTTGGAAAAATGCAGAAGAAAACGGTGCTTAACTGTTTAGACTTTTCTGTATAATTATACAGATATAAGTGTCAGTGCCGTTGTGAGGCGACAGATTGTTCTTTTTGTCATGTTTCAGTGGACAGTGAGTAGCGTCCTGGCAATCGCTACTGCCTTCATATCAATGTTAGTACTGTTCATAAACGATACGTTGTCAAAAGTAATAATAGCGCTAGAGACAGAACCAAATAAAGAAATATTTTTGTAAATTTGTTATGTTCCTAAATAAATGTTATGTGATTGTAAATGGCTGGGAAGCGATTGAGTTACAAGTATATTTTGCTAGTATTGAATCAATTGGTATATTTTAAGTTTAATTTTATTTTTCTATTAACGTAGGTGTGTACGGTCAGCAAAAATGTAGCCAACGACGTCCATATTTATAAAACATGTAGAAATATATTCACGTTTTGTCAATCTTTATAAAGCAGTAGACAATTGCAAGCCATGTGATTTATTTTTAGTCCTTGTAATTTGAGCCCATTAACAAAACCAGTTGACCCAAATCAGACATGGTGTTTTATTAATATAGATGTGTTGGGTGCCAGTAATTTCTGCCTGTACGTTTGTTTGATACAAAACCTCGATTTTGTACATTGAGTAACAATTTTCATTACATTTTATAAATAATTTCTGCTTCTTTAGATAGTCTTAGATGACAATGAAGCGTTATAAACTACTTATTCCATTCGTTTGAGTAGGCAGTGCTCGTAAGATTGTATATTTTAAACTATTGTTCCATAATAAATTAACCGTTTGCTAGTGTAATGTTGTGTAAACCGCGGCCGCGGGACCTAGTTTTTATTCGTGATTATTGAATCCTGACAAAGATAAGAACTTTGTCCAATGTTGTATTAAATCGCCTCCTAGCTACTAACGAGTACATAAGTATGTGTATCTCTAAATAATATATGAGGCACCATAAGGTGTGTATGGAAATTCGGTTCACGACCACAGATGTTATAATGCACGTATCTGATCAATAAAAGTTGATTTCTTACTTCTACTGTTTTACAAGGTTAGACCCAAAAACAGCAGCTAAATGAGTAACATATGGCGGTTTGATAGAAAATTAATACAATATTTTTATTAACAATTTACCTTTTCACATATATATTTTAAAAAAATCTTCTTACCATCTTACCCATGTGTTCCCTTAGTATTACAGAACAGTTGCATTGAATTTTAGACCTGAGCGCCTAGTCTGTCTTTGATTCAACCCAACTCGCTCTCGGGTTGCGATTGGTGAACATTTAATTGCGGGCGAATCGCAACGCCGAACGCCGTCACCGTGGCGATCGAGTAAATGTGAAATAA